CTTCTGAGCTTGATAACGCTCACATAACAACTGAGATGAGCAGGGGAATTCTGGGAGTTGAAGTCCACCCATCTTCAAGTTCCCAAGGTTGAGAAACACTGATCTAGCACCTTCAGCATGTCATCCCACTGGCCATTTTTAACAGGCATTTTAATGGATCTGGCACAACTGTTCTCCACCTTTGTGGTGGAGGATCTGCCTGGGGCACAGCTGTTTGGGCAAAGTGTGGAGGTGAGTTTTGGGCAACTAAGTATGGAATGAGTTTTGACAATTTCCCTTTGCCCAGACAAGCTTCATCAGGATTTTAAAAAGTGGCTCCTGAACGCCCAGCGGGATCTCAACTCACATGTTGAGAACTGCAGAGTTAAGCAATTCTTGCGTAACCGCCCAGGGAGCGCGTTCGAATCAGCAGCAGAAGAGAACCTTGAACCTCTTTTGCAGAAAGAGAGACCACGTGCGAATGAAAAACCACGGATCTTCTGAACTGCAAAGGGGCTGAATCCCAGAGTTTGGCCCTTCCAAATGTCCCACATGCAGAAAAGTTAGGAAAGAGGTTGCAACTTTTATTCTGTATCTGGCAAACCCTGAGCTCTGACGGAAACGCAGAATTTCCCATTCAAGCAGGGTAGCATTCAGCAGCAGATCACGTTTCATCAACCCCACATCTCCCCCAAACTGGGAAAAAGCCTGCTTCTGCAACCCACCTGAGATATTAACGTGTCACAGGCTGCAGATAATCCAAAACCTATAGAAAGGCCGGTCACGTTGATAACCTAGAGACGGGAAGAAAGGCAGAGGAGAGGAAATTTAGAAAAGAGACAACTGCTGTTCACAGTTGGAAAATGGGTATTTGAGGACAGCCATCCCAGTGTGGCCTTCTCTAGCTGTGCTGGGACTACAACTCCCAGAATGCCCAGCCCCAGGAGAAGCCTGTTTAAAAGGGGCTCTTCTAGGTTAGCTCCTGCCTGATCTTGCCTCTGCATGAAAGTTCAGCAGAATCAGGCCTTGGGATGGGGGACCACCAGGAAACCCGATGGTGGTAGGCTTGATTGGGGAATTAAGCAGAAAAATTCCATGGTAAACCAGCTGTGCTTTGTCACCAAGAAAAGGGCATGGATTTGGCCATGATGCCTCCAGCCACTGAATTCCCCCTCAGTTTAAAGTATTCAGACCTTCCCAGACAGATGATTTCTCAGTTTGGTCCAATCTTGGTTACACAGATGAATGGGGCAGAGAAAGGCTCCCCCCTCCCTTTTTTTTTCCTGGACATTGGAGTTAACACTTTGTGCAAAGCAAATCTGTTCTGAGCAACCAACCTTCTCCAACTCACCAGGGCCGTTATACCTCAGTGAAAACATCTTCACACAGAGCCATGTATGAAGATTAATTTCAATGGATTTTCCCAATCCAGGCTCCTCCCAGTGATTTGGGTGTTGGGACTGCTAATCCAAGAACCCTCACCGAGTCCCAGGCCTGGAAACCCCAACACATCTTGATGGCTCCTGTTTGGAGGAAGCTACTGCAGATGTTTCCTCAAACCATCATTTGCGGATTCCAAAATAAAGTGTGAACTCAAGTTCTTCTTCCTGCTCTTCATCAGATTCCTCTTTGATTTGCTATACTTTGCCCTAGTCCACCTAACTCATGAAGTCATCGTTTGCTTAACCTTTATTTGTTGAACAAATCATGATTATCTATATAATTACACAACACCCTGCTCCAGTTTTCCCAAGCGGAATGGTTGAATTTGCACCACAGACTAAACCAAATCAGAACAAATGACAAAATCGCAAATCACTGGCTAAATTAGATGCATGAATTGAAATACTGGCTTTGTGGACACTTCCGTGCATTTTTCTTGGCAAAAGTGGGGAATTGGTTTATCATTGCAGTCTTCTCTTTGACTTCTCAGTTTTGTCTGTGGCCCTGAAAGCTCCCGGTGGTCTCCTATCCAAGTATTAACTAGATCCAAATCAGCTAGAGATTACCCACCTGCTAATGTTCTTACCAAAATCAGAAGGGGGAGATTATAAGAGACATTAAGGTTTAACCCCTCTCCCAATATCCTCTCAATCCTAATACAGGTAGTTCTTGTTTAGCGATTTTGGAATGAACAGAGAACTAATGCAGGTAGTCCTTGCTTAGCAACTGCCTCGCTTAGCAACCATTTGCAGTTATGATGGCGATGCAAAAATAACTTTACTGACCAATCCTCTCATTTACAACCTTTGCAAGCCATTAAAACAAAGGAAAGCTGAAGTAAGATCATAAGCACAGTGGCAGTTTCACTTAGCGACTGCTTTGCTTAACAACTCAGTTGCTGGTCCCAATTGTGGTCGTTAAATGAGGACTACCTGTATTAGCTCTCTGTTCCTTCTAAAATTCACATTTTCCAGGAAGCTCCATTTCTAAACTCTCCTTTTAATTTCCAGTTGTAGATACACCTTAATAGTAATAACACATCCCAAACACCCTGAGACCCTTTAAGGACCTGCAAATCATCTCCTTATTGAAAAGGTGTTTACCCTGATGGCTGATTTTGAAGATACCACATTTTTATTTGAAAAAAAAAAAGGACTTCACCTTTCTACCCAAAAGACCTATGAAAACAACAACAGCTGCTCTCTTTCGCAAGAGCTCACTCTTCGTTCTTCTCTGCATGAGTCTTCATTCGGGAACATCATTCCTGACTGCAAGTAGACTCAGCCAGAAATGTAACAGGGAGGATGAGTGAAATAATTAAGTATTTTTCAAGTCAGGCTCGACTCTTAGGAACCTAATGGATATATCCACATTGTTTTAGGGGTTAAATATAGAAGTGATTTGTCATTCTCTTCTTCTGGAGTGTTTTTATTTTTCCCAGCTTCCCAGCCTAACCTTCAACCCTAGGATTTCCTTGTGGTCTCCCACCCAAGCACAAATCAGGGCTGACTCTGTTTAGCTTTTGGGGGTCAGCCAAGGTCAGCAAGAGGCTACCACCTGATGAAGAGAGGGGGATATTAAAAGAAAAACTCACCGCAATTGCAAGGGTGACGGAGGCCAATTCGACTTTCCCAAGGTGGCCACAGAATATCGTACTGACGACATGGATCATGAACACCAGGAGCTGAATCACCGTCTAGGTGAAGAAAGGTCAGGAGGGGGAACATGAACATTTGTAGCTCTGCAAATCACCACCGAGAGTCACCCATGTGGGTGCTGGAACACTTGGAGTCATGCATCTTTAAGTTTGCAACAGATTTAAATGCTGGAATAATAGCATTTTCGGAGTTCAGCGGTAGATTAAAGTATTAGAATCAAGCAATTTAAAGCTTAGCCGTAGATTAAAATCCTGCCATCGTGCAATTTGATGCTGGGGCAGGCTGACCTCTTGTTTCAGTCCCTCTGAATGTAACCCGCTCTTTCCTTCCTGGTTAATCTCAAAAGGGGCTGCCAGACTCCTGGTTTTCGCCCATCACAGACTAACTCAGCTTTCCTCCTGCCGTTGCCTTCCCACGATGGCAGAACCGATCTACATTTGGATTGGCAGGTCTTTGCTCAACCTGAGCCCCGGGGCAGGTCTCAAGGCTAGAACACCGGGCTCAAATCTGAACTGATCACTGAGTTTAGCTACCGGAGACCTGTCTGGGGACCGCTGAACCAAGATTGGCTAGCAACTCTGCTGACAACGTCTAAGCAAAGAGACAAGCCGGTGGCCTGGACCGCTGGCAAAACTGGGGGTTGTCACCTGCCCCAAGAGGGTCTCCAGTGGGCTGAGAGTTTGCAAAGGTCAGAAGACTTACCAGGGGCCCGGACAACACCAAGATCTTCTTCGCTTCCTCCCAGAAGTTGGAAGGAATCAGCCGACATAATTTCCTGCAGCCAGAGGGAACAGAGTGCTTCGGGTCTTCGGGCAATGTGCAGAGTGGGGGCTTTTCAATGGCAGGTGCCCCACGATCCATAGGCTGCGGGGTGGGGTGGGTGGGAGACGGCTGTTTGGGGTTTTTAAACTTGGATTCCTTCTCCTTGACCCCGAGGCTTTTTCATCCGCTGCAGGATGGACGTCCAGCAGGTCTGTACCAGCAGACTATCTTCGCCGCCGGACACTTTTGGGCAAAGGGCGAGCAGGAGAGCCTGTCTAGAGCCAATAAAAGATGGGGAGGAGCAGCTGGTTGGGAAAGACGGTGCTTCCAGGCATCTGTGGGAGGTTGGCTCGGCCCGCTGGGAAGTTTCCAAGATAATGTTCACAGGGTCAAATACTGATGAGGTCCCAGGAGCTGTTACGAAACGCATCTCTTCTGCCAAGTCAGATCTACAGTCCATTAAAAATAGCGCTACCCAGAAGAGTGAATACAGTATTCAATGCAAGCGTTTAGCCCAAGTTCCTAGTCCTCATGGCGAGCAGGGATTGGGGAACCCATGTTTTGTATTTGGAGTGAAGCTGCTTTTCCCTCTACATCGAATGTTAGCCTTGGGCATGGCAGATGCAGGGGTACAGTGTTGTGAGCAGAGAAATGAAACCCATTTCCCACAAAGGGGTGGTGGATCACTTGTCTGAATCAAGGAAAAGCAAATTCTGTTATTTTTTTTAAATTAACACATCAAAGGATGGGCGTTCGAGCCAAGGGTCGTATAAACACGGCTCCCCGTAAGAGCTCGGTGTTTTTCCCTTGGCTGAGAAGTGAGAGATCAAATTGGCTGGGGGCGATTTTAAGCCATGAATTTAAAGGTCTCAAAAGGAGGGAGTGCTTTGGATGATAAACGGTAATATGTACACCCTTTTATTGTGGTAGGAAAAAAAAATTAAAAGTGGGAATAATTCAGTGAGCAGTGTTTGAATGGCCAGCCAATCTCTCCCTTCATCTTTTGCCCTTCTGCGCATGATCGTGTTGGGCTTGCTGGCCTGTGGGGGACTAGATATGGGCCCTGTATCCAACCCAAAACACACCCCTGGCTAGAATAAACCAGTGTTTCTCAACCCTGGCAACTTGAAGATGTGTGGGCTGGGGAATTCTGGGAGTTGAAGCCCACACATCTTCAAGTTGCCAGGGTTGAGAAACACTGGATTAGTCCCATGTGATGAAGGGTGCTGAGTGGGCCATAAATGTTTTTGAGCAAGGTTTTAATGATTTATTTATTTTTTAAAATTTTGAGCAAGGTTTTAATGATTCTCCGATAGTTTGAGAGTATTTTTTTGTAGTTCTCGTCTGGCTCTGATCAGCTGTCAAAGGGGCAAGAAAAAATTGAGATGAGATCACAGCCTGTGCCGGATTTTGAAACTTCCTGGGGTAAGGATCTGCTCTTGGGTCTTCGGCCGGACCCTGGGCAGCAACACTCATCTCTCCGAATGTCCCTTTTAACCCAGATGTGTTAATGAATGGCCCAGTTCGTGGAATAAAAGAGGTCAAAGGAGTATCTTTGGCACCTGGGAAGAGCGAAGTTCCAGCCCAGCGCACCGTTTCCAGTCTTGCAACACAACCGGAGGCCATCACACCTTCCAGTTAGCATAGCTTTCCACTGACTGAAGTTGCACCTTTTAATCCTAGATGGGCTTCCCATCAAGGTTGGTTAATTATTCTTAACGCTCTTTCCCACCTAGTTAGCTCTATAGAGCTCGGTGCCTGGTGGGGGGGGGGTGCATGGAGTGGGGAGTGGCGCAAAGAGGCTAATGCATTTGGTAAACTAGCCCCAACAGATCCCAATAATGCACGGGATTCAATAAATTCTGCAGAGTTTGCTATGGATTAGAATTACAGGTAGTCCTCGCTTAGTAACTACCTCATTTAGCAACTGTTCACAGTTATGACGGTGATGAAAAGGTAACTTGGTGACCAATCCTTGCCTTGAGAGCCTGCGCAGGTCTGTAAAGCAAAGGAAAGTGGAAGTCAGATTGTAAGCACTGTCATGGTTTCACTTAGTGGCATGTTGCTTAACGACCAACTTGCCGGTCCCAAATAATGGTCACTGAACAAAGACTACCTGCATTACGCTGCTGTAAGAAATAGGATATGAGTAGGCTTGTTGTTTTTACAGAAACTTAAGAGATAAATGAATATGGAGAATTGTTTATGGCGTAATAGTTACAGCTTTGGCCAAGCAGAAACAAAGAAACCTGATCTTACAGTCAAGAAAAATTGGGAAAAAGAGAAAAAGGGAAGAAGGCAAACGGCTGCAACAGGATGCCGCTAGCTTAACCACAAACTGCAGCTATTTACAGGAACCCGGTAGCCTTTAAGATGACACGTAAGTAGAAGTACCAAATATGGACAATTGTAAATAGGAGTCAGGGGGCTTTGGAGTAGAGTGACGGGAGATGTAAACTGAGGTGGAACTTCCGGAAATTGTATTAGGCGTATCGGATAGGTTGTCAACTCCCTAGTACCTGACCAGCGGGGAACCGGAGGAGGGCTTTTTGCATCTGTGACAGGAATACAGAGATACCTCGGTTCACGAACTTAATTCGTTCCACAATTCTGGTCGCGAACCGAATCGGTTGCAAACCGAATCAAATTTCCCCATAAGGATCAATGTAAATAAGGTTAATCCGTTCCGAACCATATGTATTTTTTTTTAACCACAAAAATAAGAAACAAAGTCCAGTCCAGTCCAGTCCAGGATGAAGAGAGAGGACACTAACCTTGCGTGAGGCGACACCAAAAAACTTCACAGCGAGTGTCTGTCTGCGACCGCGATCTGGCCTAGAGGAAGCCACGGCCACGTGTCAGAGCAGGGAAGGTGGCCGCGGGTCGTGTTCGTCACCCGACGCGGAGTTCGCAAACGGAAGCAAAAATTTGCGAACGCTGCTGTTCGCGAACCGAATTGGTCGTGAACAGAAGCGTTCGTGAACCAAAGTATTACTGTATAAGGAAGACCAATTGCGAAGATCTGGGTCCACCGCACCCGTTTTTGCAAAACCGTTAATAAATACTTTGCTACTTCTGGAGACCTGAGTTGGGTTTTATTGATAACACTGCCTTGAGGTATATATAAAAAAGGTGGGATAAAAATAAATCGTTTTATTATAAAGGTAAAACTTTTATACATACCTACATATATATAGGTAGGTATGTATATAAATGTATAATACTTAATATTTTTTTAATATTTATGTATAAATATTTATA